TATATATATATATATATATATATATATATATATATATATATATATATATATATATATATATATACACAGGGTATCTCACACTCTCCTCGAAGCATTTTTGTGGGGACGTAGAATGGGTTGATGTGAACATAAAAGTCCTATACCATTTTACGATATTCGCAATAATTATCGAGATATTAATTGTAGAAAATTTGTAAATGATCATGTAAAATATGGTAAATGAGTTATAATGGCGATGACTGTCGTCGTGTATTTATATTTTAGATCAAATTGAATAAAAAAGTCCTTTACCATTTTTCAAATAATCACATAGATTTTTAATTAAAGAAGATTATTGCACGATTTTGCGTGAAAATGCACTTATCTTCTTTATTTTATTAATAATTAAAAATTTATGTGATTATTTGCAAAATGGTAGAGGACTTTTTTATTCAATTTGACCTAAAGTATAAGTACACGACGGCAGTCGTCGCTATTATAACTCATTTACCATATCCTGCATGATCATTCACAAATTTTCTACAATTAATATCTCGATATTTATTGCGAATATCGCAAAACGGTATAGAACTTTTATGTTCACATCAACCCATTATACGTCCCCACAAAATTCCCGGAGGAGAGTGTGAGACACTCTGTATATATACATATATTTGAATTATTGTTTGCATTTAATTACGTTAAAAGCTAAAAAATTTCTCTTGGTACGTATCGACGCAACGAGCCAAGCAAATCGTAACAAACGCGGATTTAAAAATATGTCATCCATGAACCACGACACGTACTGCAATGACGGTTTAATTTACTCGAATATCGTTAACTAAATATTATATTTGGCAAAAACAACGTGTCGTTTTAAATGACTGGGTCAAACGTGGAAATTAAATGTCATTCGTATCTTGGTCGGAAGAATAACTGACAAGAGCGACGTTCGACTGTGTTTAAAATTTCTTGAATATATTATGAACAGTTTTATGCTGATATAATAACGTTGTTCCGTGAAAGGTAATGAAATGAGACGTACTTTTTCTCTTTCTTTTTTGCTCTCTTTCTCTCTCTTACATATACATACATGCTCGATATACGAATCGTCGCACACGTCGTTTTTAAGTGGCATTTGCAATTATTAATCAATTTAGACAGTAAGTTAAGTGTTAGAAGGAGGTAGCATCACGTTCCCCTGAAAATAATATTCTTTTATTAAAAATTCGATATGTCGTATAATTTTACAGGGAATATTGAGAATCAATAGTGAGAAATTAGATGCGTATGGTCGTAGCACGAGTGTAAGAATGTCAATTCTCGGTTTGCTCTTATTGCCGTGGCCGTGTTTATTTCGTATAGGGTATCTTGCTCGTAAACTTAAGTAATAACTTACAGCTACAGTAGTTGAACATTTATCACTTGCGTTATCTCTGCATATAACATAGAAATTGGCATATCCAAATAGAGAAACGACGCGTTAATGTATAACAGTAAAAATATTAATCTCTACAATTTGCATTAATTTTTCATAGAGATGAGATAAATGTCATGTTATCGTGACATCGATGATAATGTAACGTAATTCGATTAATGGAACGGAATAATAAATTTGATATTGCTGCGTTTGGTATAAAATAATTGTACACGCACATATACGCGCACACAGAAATGATCGTTTACGTTGAAAACGAAACATATATATATATATATATATATATATATATATATATATATATATATGTGTGTACATACATGTGTAAAAAGAGAAAGAGTATTACAGATTTAATAAAACAAATCCGCCCACACATTTTCTCTTTCAGTAAACATTTATAACGTTTGAAATAATTTGATATGACATTTAACAAGTTTCGCTTCGCGCTTTATACATTGAGGGGTCTCTCTCTCTCTTTCTTTTCTCGTCTGCTGAGTATATTTCTTTTTTTTTTAGCACAATATCAGCAGCCATCGCTTATTTATTTCCCTTTGTCCCACGTTTCCTTCGTTCTCGCGTTTACGTGCACTTTACACGGTACACTATCGCTTTCGAGAAACGCGAGACAAAAGACCGGCAAATCAACGTCTTTGAAAATGAGGAGCGCGCTTTGTTACCTCGGCGTCGTAAAAAGGCTTCATGAAACATGAATCCATCAATTGATCCCCATAATTGGCTTTCAACTTGACGCCTTTCTCTCGGGTACGAGACATTTCTTTTTCTTTTTCCCCTCCCCCTCTCTCTCTCTCTCTCTCTCTCTCTCTCTCGAATAAATGTGATATATTCGCAATTCGTAAACGATCCTCCAAAAACTTGTAATTTACGACACATCTCGCAAACACGAGAATCGTTTCGACGATTATCACATCTCACATCAGCTGTTATTGATTCCCATCGCGAAGGGACCAACGAACGACTTTGCTATCCGCTCTAAACAACACGTAACGTGAAATTCACAGGACAATATCCGGTGATTGACTTCTCTTTTTTTTCTTCCGGCGTAATAACGGCTAGCTTGTTGTTTCTTCTGCCTACGGTTCCGCTAATGAATCTCTTTCACGAAAAGGGGACATTACTTGCAGTGCTTGACATTATCTCTTATTACGAGATTACGCGGGGGATAATGTTCCGTTCCATTGCCGACGCGGAAAGGTCTTAACCTGACATATACGTCACCGCGTATTTTATCTCGACTAAAAAAGCACATTACCCGTATCGCAAGAAGATCCCGACTGCGCGAGTCATTTTGTTGCTTACAATAGATAGTTCCTTGATCGAGGTACTTAAACCACTGGGAGGTCAATTACGTCTATATTCTTTACGGTAAATTAGAATGCAAGGGAAATGGGGCGAAATTAGTTATATTTTTGCTTAGCCTAAGAATCGGATTTTGATTTGTTTTTTTTCTACGTCTTTTTTTCCCTCTTCTTCTTCCTTCTTTTCTGTTTTGTTTATCGTGAAATCAACTGCAATACTGACAGACATAATCTGAAAATCTGAAATAATGTACGCAAATGGAGACCAACGAGAGGCCACATTTATAAATTAGGAAATAAAATTAGAATATATACGTAATGGAAATATCGTGTCTCTCAATGACGGCCGGATATAAGCGAAGATAGTATAAAGAATTAACATTCGACAGTTGAAAAGCCCGCAGGAATAAAATCCGCGATAATTTATCGAGTTTTCCCACGGGACGCGCGCCCTCGCTCCACTCGAATGAATAAAAATATAATTTTCGTGGCGATTTTTAAGCGGCATTCACCTCGGTAGAGAAACAGAAAACAGAAAAGCAGAAGCCAATTCGCGTTGATGATCGCGAAGTGGTGGACAGTTTCTACTTTTTTAGTAGCGCGAATTCTGTTCAGGCTTCTGCTTTTCCGTTTTCTGCTTTTCCGCTAAGGTGTGAGTTCTCCCTTACACGTTCTGTGCCACTTACGTGCGAAATCGATTTTGTTCAAGATGACAGAAGGTCGACCGCAAATAAAAAATGACGAATCACGGCGATCCATTGTGCCGCGCACTAATTACGGCAATTTAATCACAAGACAGCTATTTAACATAAAATATTCTTTTTAACTTTTTGGAGCCATTTCATTTCTCGGTGAAATATTTTCAAATTTGATATATCGGAAATATCAGGATCACTGATTACGAATTTCAGGTTAAAAAGTTAAAATTTGAAATGGCGGGTTCAACATAACAAGCATAAGTTTGTAAAAGTTAGCAATCTCGCTTTTAGCATAATCAGAAATAACGACATTTCCTTCATATGAAAAAAAGATATTTACGTTCTCTTGACAGGAATCTTGTAGCAAACATATTATCAATATTTCAGCTTATTATACAAAATTCTTTTCTGGAAATTTTGAAAAAATATGTAAAATACATTGTTAATTGTCCTAAATAAACTGTTAATATTTCGATGCGTCGATTCCTAATAATTAGCCCTAAAATGATTTTTGTTTGAAAAAGTACATTTTTCACTTTTTTTATTCGCTTATAACAATTTAACAATTAAATGTTCAAATTATTTTCTACTTATTTTTAGACCTTTACGTTCATGTGAGTGTATAGTAATAATATAGTCGATTATGTTTGCTGATAAGTTAATTAAAATCACTAAAAATGAAGAAAAGATAGATACACGGAAATAATTTTATGATAAAACGTGCTAATGGATTTTGTAATCGAAGAATAGATTGACATTCTACAGTAATTCATTTTCAATTTCATATGTGCTACTTTATATTTCAAGACCTAAAATATATTTCCAGAACTAACATACTTGCTATGTTTTTAGTGAAATTCACTAAACTTTCGTTCCTTAACAAAATAGAGCTTACTGGCAGTCTGTTTTTGAAACAATAAAAACATAGCGAAATTGAAAAGAATTTATATATGAGAAAGCTATAATATTCTCTCTGCGTGCGAGATGTTAACGTTCCATTATGGCTTAAAGAGTTAAGCGAGCTCTAATTTATCGCGGCGACACGACCCGTGGATCTTTATTTCGCGTGTAATCCGTTTTCGCTGAACTTTCGCGAGGATCGATGGGGGCATCGAGCATGGCCCCTCAATAAATGCGAGCGCGAGTCGCAAACGCGACAATTGGATTAACGGATCCGTGAGTGGCGCGGGCGTGCGCTTGGAATCGAGAACAGACCGATACTTTGTTCCCTTTTCCATTTGTTCTTCGACGGTCGTTTAATATTTCGGCGAATGTTAATTGTGCGCCGCGACTCGAGAGGCTCGCTTTACGAGATTTAACTGAACGAGCCGATTCGTTGCCGGTTAAAAAGAATTCCTGATTGGAATGCGTTCGACGATTTCAAAGGGACTCGTAAACGCGTTGTCGACGGTGAGATGCGAATACTTTTTTAATTATAAGAGAATCTCGCGGGGGAAACAGTTTGCGGAACGGGTTTGGCATTATTTTCTTGCCCTTTACCCCCTTTTTTTGGAAAACGAAACACAAGTTGCGAATGAGAAATTTGCATTTACCTCGAGTAAAGGAGAAAAGAGTTGCGAGAGACGAGATTTTTTAATATTCAACTGCATGAATGTGAATCGTAATCGCAATACTGGCCTTTTATGTAACATCCTACATCTTGCATTGCATCGATAATTATGTTAATCATTACGTACGCTTTTATCTCGTCTCGCTGCACTCACGTATAATTCCGCAACAAAGTCGTCTATCTGCGACTCGGTAAAAACACGATGCCAACTTTCGTATTATTCCATACGTAATTAGAGGGAGTATTTAATTATTTTACCTCCTGAGTACACCCGATGCAATATTTCGATCCGCGTGTAAAGTTAACTTGTTACTTACGTTTATTATTCCGCGTACAGTTCGCAATTCGTAATGGATATTTTTAATAAAATCCGACGGGAACATTATATCTCTTTCTCCTATGGTAATTAAAACTTTTTAAATAAAAATATAGCTTGTCTTAAACACACACATTGTGCCTCCAAAAATAATCATTTCCACCAATATATTCATTGTTTCTGATTCGGCGGTATTCCATAAGAATTGTATATATTTTATTACTTCTTACATGTTAGAAAGAGAATTTCACACGGTAGTTAAAGTATATCAAAATAAAAATTTCTAATAAGCTCTTAAGAAGCGAATTGCCTTGTAAATAACAGGAAAAAAAAGTTATAATTGAGTCATAATTGATTTTCCCATTGCATATCGTCCGTTTTCATTACTGCAGGATTAATAAATATTTAACTAAAGATAAACGAATAAGAATCTCGGAATCGTACGATTTGCATTGTAATACCTAGAAAATATAATCTTATATTCTTAGCAGAAATATAATCTTATATTCTTAGCAGAAATATAATCTTATATTCTTAGCAGATATTCTGTTACATATCACCCGAAGAAAACTCCTCTAAAATCGAAAGGAAAATATTCTAATACTCAAAGAAAAAAAACTTTAGCTGTAAGGTGTTTTTTCCTGTAATTCCATATTCTAAACGAAAATTTTTACCGAAAGAATATTCTTCTTCTATTGAAATGAGTTATCGAAAATTTACTAGATATTATTCTGACTTTTTCCCTTTTGTATCAAGAGGAATATGTTTACTTGAAGCAGAGTGTCTTGTTACTAGAGAAAATTTCTATTAGAAACAAGAATCATATACGGAGAGAATATTATAGTTTCTTTTCATGTAAATTGTTTTCTGAAAATATAGCACATTTTTTCATAGCACATTTCCGTAGCACATATGAGACGAAACTATTTCTGGCCACAAAATTCTAGAGTAATTTTTACTATAAAATCTTCCGCGTGTACTATAGATAAAAGAGGAACTTCAAAAATATTGCGCTTAGAACATTTTCCTTTTGACTTTGGAAAAATCTCTTGAGGCCATACATAGGACAATATCCATTAGGAATAAGGTTATATCTTTTTTGAGTGAAAATCGCGAATCTGACAATGACAAGAATTTGTGACGTTTTCATTCACGTTTACTTATCGCGAAAATGTGTCTATCATCTGTCATCAGTATATGGATCACGTTCGTGGACAAATGCGACATCGTTGTGCATATTTTCGGGTTCGACGATGCCTGCATACGCAGTTGTTGATTGATCGTGGGTAGGTTTAATAAGTAGCGTGCAAAATTAAAAGTACTGCTGGGGAAACAGTCGATCAACTGAAGCAAACATTTGTGACGCACTCAGAGCATGAAGTGCCCTCGAGCGTCCTCGTCGGGAACACACGCCCATCACAGCCTGGACGTTATAAAGTTCGCAATGACGCAATTAGTAGACGGTGGCAGTAGCGAGTAAACAAATTTCACCTCTTTTTCTTCGTTGTTCGCGTGCGAAACCGGCGTCCAACGAATGGCCGGAGGCGGTAAAGAGCTGAGGAGAAACGGAATCAATCCTAGGAGACATCTTTTCAATTCGCGAACCAGCGCGAATACGCGTATTGGGTAAAAGAGAGGCAATCAGTGCCAGCGCTCTTCTTACAGCGGATAGCAAAGGGCTCGTCGGTTTCTTCGACGCTAGACCTGGGTGACCTGGGTCATCGTGTGATTGGTCCCGGTGTTTCCGTTATTCTCCATCGGCTGATGCGGCACCGGCATCCATCTGCCGATTAGTTGCCACAGTCGGTTACAAAACAGCTGGTTGAACGTCGTCCGGAATTGTCGACTCATGGCGCAGTACAGGATGAAATTGATGGCCGAGTTTATGAGCGTCAGGATATCTATCACGTCTCCTGTTAGCAGAGGGTAAAAGAGGATTAACACGATTAACGAAAGTTCCTAGATTAAGGCCAAGTCCCACAACATCCGTTTTAATTACTGGTTAAGTCCCAATAGTGATTGATTAATTTTGATTAACTCTTCTTAATGTCCCAAATGGAATTAATCAAGTCCAATGGAATTGGACTAGCCAGTTAAGTTAACCGAAGGTTGTGGAACTGAGCCTAAGGGCGAGTTACATCTCTGAGGAATTTTGTCGTCAAAACTCCGAGACGCTCGAATGAAATGTTCAGTTCATTTTCACGATGAAATCTCGCACGTGAACAGGTTCCGCTTTTCGATTAAGGGGCAGAATCGCCGCAAACATTTCTGAGACTTTTCTCTTTCGTCTGAAAGCCCGTAGCAATAAATTTCGAAGGGAGAACAAAGGTATGAGACTTGAATATGAAATCGAAGTTGAATAAAAAGTCTTTTTCTATAATTTACAGCGCGCAGCTTTTCTTTTGTCCCTCTATGCGCAAAATGTCTCATTCGCGCGTGTTTCTCGTAGGTAGTTCTTTTTGTTATATAACTGTAGACTGCTGGTGGCGATTTTAGACTTCTGCTAACATCTACAGCGCCACTAGTATTTTCATCACTGTTGTGCTCATTTGAATTTGTCTAGTTCGTAATCATGAATTGTAATATTATTGAAACATACGAAAAATGTACTTTTTAATACTATTTATCATTGGAGGGGTTTTTAAAATTATCATAAAGATATTTTGCAACTCATTTATAAAGTCTTGCAAACATCAGACTATTTCGTTTGCGATTAATGGATTTTGGAAATCTACATGCAATGATAAAAGAATTAGCTATTTGGATAATATTTCGTATAATATTATATAACATCATTCGATATGTGACATAATAATAATGTCATTCGTATGATATTATTATACAATATCGTATGTAATATTATGTCATGTAAAATAGATATATTTCTCTAAAATAGTTGACTCTTTCATCATTATGTAAGTATTGGCATTATGAATGGCAGGCAAAATAGTCTGATGTTTATGAAACTTTTTTATAAATGAGAGTTGCAGAATATTTTCATGATGATTTAAAAAAGTTTTTCAGCGATAAATAATGCTGAAAAGTTTATTTCTCATGATATTGTAACTCGTGATCGCGAATGAAATAATTCTAAAATATATAAGATAGGAATAAAAGTATTATGATATTTTAGACAATACTTATGTTACTTTTGTACTGGCGGCGTTGTAAATTGGCAGACGTTTTACTGTGGGGGAAGATAAGCGGCTAGAAGTTCATGGTTATGCAGTCAAAGAGTAGTTCTTTCTTGTTCTTGTTCTTTCTTGTTTTTGTTCTTTCTTGCTCTATTCTCCCCGCCCTTATTTGCATATAATATTAAAAAATATGAAAGAAGCCTCGACCTATTTGATCGCCCAATAATTTTGCCTCGGCGACGTGACGTGGAAAAATTAGAAATCGACGGCAAGGAATCTTGATTTTGGCACGAAAACGATTGGACGACGGGCGCTCTCTCGTATGAGGAAATAGGAGGCACTTTCACTACCTTTGCTTCTCCCTCCCCGCCTTCTCTACCCGTTCCTGCGACGTGCGGAATGTCGTAAATACAGTGACGTATTTTATAACATTTGATACGTGAGGCTTGCACCACGACGGGATACATTCCTGGCACGTTTCCGAGATTGAACGGAAGTTTTCACGTGCCGTTCCGAATTCTCCCGCCAGGCGCGGTGAAACGTGCAAATTTCGGACATGCAATTTGTCGTTGAACTATGATACTCTTATGATGAATTTGTCCCGAACTCGCGCTGGATATTTCGCAGTGTTTCGTAATATTCCGCGCTGCGCGCGACACTTCAAACGCCTTTCTCCCCTTTTACTCTTTCTCTTTTTCCTGTTTTCCCTAAGCATTATTTTATGCGCGCACACACATCGCGCGAATTTTAATCGTTCGCATTATAATAATGCGCGACGTATTTTACCGTGAATATTACGTCGGAGAGGACATGAATATCCGATGCGCGACAATTAAATCTTGATTTTCAAGTCAACGGCGGCGGCTTTGTGCGCTCCGGTTTAAATATGATTCAATTTTTCGTGTTATGCACGTGACTCGTCATCACTCTGGAGTGTCGGCGGTCTCTTGTAGCTCTCGCAACGCGGCTTAATGTTAAAACTATCGCGTCCGCGACGCAATCATATGAATTGAAAGAGATCACTGGTTCAACCACCATTCCGCCGTTTTCATTCGATTCGCCGACCTTTTCGAATTTCGCTCGCGAAATTCGTGCGCTGCATCGCGGGCCACTATTGAAAGAGACAACGAATATGGATGGCGTGCGTGAGAAGGGGGAAATTTTTTTCGTGTCCTATCCGCGCGCTTCCGAAGCGTGCTTGCAAAGTGAATCAGCATTGCCTGTCGTCGAATCAATAGAACTTGAGAGATAGGACCTACAGATGCGATCCAATTTTCGTAACAGCGCCAAAGTCGTTTCTGCGTAACGCTGTTTTACTTTTTTGTGACGTAGTATACAACGTTTTGTAGTACACAACGACCGCGTTATATACGCGACATTCCCTTCTCCTCTTCCTCCCTCTCACCCCTCGAGCAAATCGACCGTTTGTCTCAGCGAGCGAGAAACTCTCCCCTGAAACCTGACAGGGTTGCAATGGACCTTGCGCCCCCACAGCAGAACGCGTGCGACGTATTTCTCTCTCTTTTCCTCCTCGATCATCCCCTCATCATCCCCTTTCCTGTTACTGCGTTTAATGTTGCGTCTACTAATGCTATATTGCTTTAACATCGCGTGTAAATTTTGCTTTGTGGTTTAGTTTAATTAGTTTTTGTTGCATTACTCCGAATGACCAATGAAAATTAATATTAGTTCTAACTAGTCAGTACTTCTAGATACACTTGTCTCGATGCAGCCTGGGTAGATTATTTTGTTTCTTGGTAATTAATTCTGTTTCATTCTACTTGATACGCGTATAACACATTTGTCTTATTTCTCTCAAATCTTTTTTGAAGTGATGTAACTACGCACTTTCTTCAGTAATCTTGAATAGAGACGTTTCTCATAAAATCGCAATGATTAATTCGTAACTACTAGCGTTTCAACACTTACTAGTACATATGTAGACTACCGCATTAATTATAATATTACTAAGTAGTTGTAATGATTTTGTAAATCCTAAGAGGAAACTTCCCTACAGGAAAAATATACTCTACTCTTCTCTCTTTCTTCGCCGATCATTTCTCTCTCGGGCTTTTCCGCGTCGAGTTTTGTGCAAATAATTAGACAGTAATCCGCTTCATGCAATTTGAACGGGCGCGTGGTCGCATGTTTCCTTGGATAATTACAGGAAAATATGTCGTTCGCCTGGATGCGTTTCGCCTGGAGACTTTTAGTCGCCAAGTTCTGCGCGATTATCGAGAAATAACGAAGAGCCTTTCACGATAGCTTAACTTTGACTTTGGGTGAATGCTAAAGTATGTCGGGCTCTCGGTGCGAAACTACAGCGAGCTTTCGTGCTAATTACCACTCGTGTCGAGTGGTAATTCACGGAGCGACGTTACGTGTCGCAAAAAGCGGGGGTTGTGATCTGTAAGTTTCCAGTTGTACACGTAAACGACGGGTAATTTGTTTGCGGCTTGCTGTCGCGTCGGAACTGTTGCGGGAGGGCCTGCGGAAGACGGTCGCGATATGTCAGAGAACTATAGCGATTTTAGAATTGCGATAATAATTAGAATTTGTAAGCCGCTTGCTTGTATTGTACTCGATTTGGACCGTTTGTTACCACGCTGCAATCAAGCGGTGCTATTCTACCATTATGCACACAACTCGACTCTAGGTTAGTGTTTACATTGCAAAAAGCCGCTGTTATTGCAGTATAATGAGAGAGCCGTTGAGAGAGTTCGGGAGTGACCGAGAGAAAGAGAGAGAGAGACACGAATGGGATGAAAGCTACTTTAATACAAATGGGCGTCAAATAAGACCTCGCGATGTCAGTACACTCTTTGTCGTTCTATTTGGTGCCGCGTGATAAGTGCGGGGTATCCTAGTATCGAACGTTAAATAAATACTCCGGAGAGCTCTCGCAGCGAAACTCGGTAACATCGCCGTTGTTTTCAGAAGTGTGAAAATAGGAGGAAATAGGATGGTGAATACCCGCGCCGAGTCTTCAAGTGCACGTGTCGGTGTCACGTATCTATTTTACGATCTTAAGGGGATCTGTCACTTTAAACAGAAACAGTCGACCTTTCGCAACCTTCCTCTTTTATCGTATCTCGATGGTAACATACTTGATCGTTTGAGGCAGGTTTATGAGAGCCCATGTAAGTTGATTCACATTGCGAGTATAATTTTTGTTATTGCTTTATTCAGGAAGTTTTTGCTATTACTTTTCTGTTTACCAAATATTTTCAGTCACTATTCTTTGAAGAACTTTCTCAATAGCAACAGCCAAAAATAGAATCTTATTCTTGGCAGAATTCTCTCATGTACGACCTTAAAAGAATTCTTTTAAATCCAAGAGGGAGATATTCTAACACCCAAAAAAAGAATTCTAAGAAGTTGAAAGATTACCTGTAATCTCGTATTCTAAGTGAAAACTCTTACGAAAACTCTCATTCTTCCTCTAATGAAGTGAACTATTAATCGGAAATCTATTAAATATTATTCTAACCTTTTTCCTTTTTAATGAATAGAAATACTTGAAGCAGAATGCCCTTTTACTAGAAGAAATTTCTATTGCTAAGAGCAAGATTTATATTTGTAGATGAACAAAATTCCACTAACTTTAAGATTATTGTATTTAGAATATTTTCTTTTTAATTTTAGGGAGAATTCTCTTGAGATCATACACGGAAAAGAAATCTGATTGATTTAATCGAACGAATTATAAACGACTCAGAATTTCGATTAAAGTTACCAGAATTCGGTTCAAGTTAATCAGAATCTTGTTAACTTGAATA